TAAAACTCAGGGTGTCAAGGTTGATGGTACCCAAGTCCGAGTAGGGCAGATGAGAGGCGTCTGCTTTCAAATGGGAGGAGCCCGGGGTCAGTTAGAAAGAGAAAGGGAGATGCCCTTGAAGAAGAGGCAGCAGTCGAGAATTCCCAGAAGCAGCGCAAAGAGGAGGTGGGAGAGACTCGGAAAAGGGTTTTTCCTTTCCACATCCAGGTCTTAGGAGCCGTCAATAGGAGTCCTGCCAGAAGGAGGATCCCAGCAGCACAGAAACGGAGACCCAGGGAGGATGACCTGCAAGAGTTCAGTGCCGTAGGGTGGAGTCTCAATCTAAGACTATCCCAGGGGACCAAGGCTCGTCAGAGAGGTGCCCGGTACACAGTGGACAGGAAGTGCATATGGAGGCTGCAGGCACACTGTAAGAAGGGGAATATAGGCTAAATCCTTAAGAAAATAAAAGGAAAGTAAAATAAATATAAAATTGTAGCGAACGGTTTTTACTGTGAAGAGAAAATTGTACTGCGATGTGAAAGTCTGAGCGTGCGCAGAGTGTGCTCACTAAGAAAACTTTTTTTTTTTTTACAAGGAGGGGGCAGAATAAAGCACTTGAGCGGCTTCCTCCTGTGTCGTCTAAAATTGGAATCTGCCCAGTAGACGTGGAGACGGAAAGAGGCAGGTGTGGACCCAGGATAGCGACAGGCGTTCAACACAGCTGTTTTCACTTTAGCCGGTTCCTTTCTTTAGCGGCCTCTGCTGGCCACACTTAGTGTTGCAGTCTATGGGCAGGGCAGGTTCTCTTACCCTCTTCCCTACAGGGTGGCAAGAATGCTTGGCCAGAGATGCCTCCCAAGAGGAGTGGAAACCCAGCCTAGATCTGTGTGGAGAGCCAGTCTTTGTACCTTCAGAACCCACTCAGCGTTAAATCCACCTCTGGACAGATAAAGCTGTGGGCCATGGGTGATCATGTCTCACTCTCTTCCCTCCAGGGTGTGGCGAAGATGCTCGGCCAGGGATGCCTCCCAAGAGGAGTGAAAATACAGCTGAGATCTGCGTGGAGAGCCAGTCTCTGTACCTTCAGAACCTACTCAGCATTAAAAATACCACTGGACGGATAAAGCTGTGGGTGATCATGTTGACCGGAGCGTCAGGGATCCCCAGACAGTGAACCTCACGGTCGGTCTGGCTCTAGAAGCTGATCCTCCAGCTCCCAGCTATCTCACTGTCCCAGTTACCGTTCTGTGGCTGTGAAGAGACAGCACGTCCAAGGCAACTCTTACAAACAAAAGCATTTTACTGGGAGCTTGCTTACAGGTTTATAGTCCATGATGATCACGGCCGGAAGGAAACAGGCATAGTGCTGGAGCAGAAGCTGAGAGTTTCCACCCTGATATGCAGGCAGCAGATAGAGGGACCGAGACACTGGGCCTGGCATGGGCTTTGGAAACCTCAAAGCGAGTGACACACCTCCTCCAACAAGGCCACCTCTCCTAATCCTTCTAGTCCTCAGACAGTTCACCAACTGGGGAATTGAGCACACAAATACATGAACCTGAGGAGGCCATTCTCATCCCAACCACCAAACTCACTCTCCATTATAGTCAGGAGATGGGCTCAGCTCTTAGTCACACCAAAGCCAAACCTCCTGCCACCTGAGCCTTCCAGCCTGTCAATGACTGACCCTCCCCCTCTCTGTGACAGCCTCCTGTGGCTTCAGGAGTCCGATGGAGGGGGGGGATGTGGTTTGATCACTAGCTTTGTACCTTGTGACTGCTCCCTTTTTCAGGCCTGCAGGGAATTTCGGTTTCAACAATAGGCTCCCTCTCAGAGACGATGGCCAGCCACAGCTGAGACTTGGAAATAGTAAACCAGAGCAGGTATTCATTGTGAACCCTCCCTCAGGAGTAGTCAGTATCTCACCAGAACTCCTGACTGGTATTTGAAGCTTTCACAGACCCTGAGTGATGTGGGATTCCCCTCTGTATGCTGTGAATGCCACTTATTTATTAAGAAACTGTCTTGGGCCTGCACAGGGATATAGAGGTAGGCAGGGAAAGCTAAACAGAATGCTGGGAGAAAGGAGACAGAGTCAGAGAGAAGCCATGTAGCCCCACCAGAGACAGACGCCAGAACTTTAGATGGAAAGCCACAGCCACGTGGCAATATGGCGATACACAGATGACTAGAAATGGGTTAAATTACGATCTGAGAGTTAGCCAATAAGAAGCTAGAGCTAATGGGCCAAGCAGTGATTTTAAATAATACAGTTTCTGTGTGGTTATTTTGGGACTGAGCAGTTGGGAACCAACAAGCGGCCCTCCTTCCAACACCTGAGCTTGTCCTATAGATAGGTCTGCCAACTGTCTTTCCGTACGGTCATCTGGCTTACCTTTAGGAGGAGGCTTCTGTTTCTGCTGCACAGCCTCTTGCCGCTAGTTCCTCTCACTGGCTCCCTTTTGCTTGGCTTGTCTTTTGACAAGGTCTCTTTAGGGAGACCAGGTTGACCTTGAACTCTCAATCTTCAACCTCTTAAATACTAGGTGTACATGTATATGCCACCAAGCCAGACTTGCGGCTTTTCATTTGTTGGGAGTTTGTTGTTTGTTTTGAGACAGGGTATCACATACCCACTGGCCTCAAGAGTAGCTGAGGCTGGCCTTGAACTCCTGACATTCCTCTTCCACCTCCTAAGTGCTGGGTGGGGTTCCAGGTGGTCACCATCATACCTGGTCCCGACTTCTAGTTTTGAAAGTGAATCCACAACCCAGGAACATCTGTCTAAACACTTTAATTAAAATTCACGGCACTATGGAAGCCGGCGAGTACAGAAAGCATTCTTGTTTACTGAGAAAACAGCTTAGACTAGTCCCGGTGGCTGGGCACCGTTTGATAACGAAATTTTAAACAGCTTCTTCGTTTTAATTCCATTTAAAATATTTGTGTAGTTAAAAATAAAAGATGGCGTGCGATTCATTATCTACCAAAACACAAGACAGACGGAGGAGATTAAAGGAGGAGAGATTCAGTGACTCATACTCGCTCCATTCTGACTTCAGGATTACAGGCGATCTCTGAGCTGTGTCATTCATGCCTCAGAGGCCAGCCAGTCCAATTTAACTTGGAGATTAGTGCCTGTCTCCAGCTCAGTTTATCTAATATCTGGGTTCTGTGAGAATGTTATCCGGAATGAGATTTAGCTCGGTGAAATTAAGACACTGCCAATCTCATTTCAGAATTAGTGTTCTTTCCAGGAACCTCAAGAACCTCTTGCTTTCTATAATAAGCAGACTATTTTCAGGGACCAGCATCTAAAAGAGTAGGTGCAGTCATAGAAAACAGATTCCTTATGAAGCAGGATCTCACAGTGGCAGGGTCAGGAAGATGCAGAACCTCACAGTGGCGGGGTCAGGAAACAATTTGCTGTCTACTGAAGGGCGGCATGTTTGCCTTAGAGGAACATCTGAAATTCTTGCTGCGGGCGGAAGCATTTACTATGCCTGGGCTTTAGATTCTAGGGGGCAGATATGAGAATGATACATGAGAAATCTAAGGCTAAAAAAAAAAAATATGACTAGACTCCAAACTCACCCCGCTTTAAAAAAAAAAATAAGGTGTACCTGTGAGATTAGATCTGTGTAGGAATCTTTCTTTTGGTTTTGAGGATCAAACCCAGGGACTCACATGGGCCAGACAAGCGCTCTACAGTAAGGACAACCCCATTCTGTACAAGATGATTTTATCATTGTTAGCTCTTGTGTGTGTGCATGCATGCGTGCATGTGTGTGTGCGTGTATGTGTGTGTGTGTGTGTGTGTGTACGTGTGTGCCACAGTGCACATGTGAAGGTCAGAAGACAACTTTGTGGGGCTGATTCTTTTCACCTTTGCATGGGTTTCAGAGATTCAGGTTGTCAAGCATGCACAGTGGTGTGGCAAGGGCCTTTATTCACTGAGCCCTCTCAATGTCCTGCGATGTTATTCTTAACAATGTGAGACTGGAAGCAACCCAAATACTCACAGATGAACAGTGGAGAAAATGTCACCACACATCTGAACAAGGGACTACGCTGCCGTCACCAATGGACCAGTGCATTTCCCTTCTTTCCTTTTTTAGGCATAGGGTACTGTCATGTAGCCCCAGCTGACTTCAAACTTGTGATTCTCCTGCCTTGGCATCCAGTGCTCCACGATGCCCAGCTACAAGCATGCTCTCTGTGTGCTGACAGAGAACCACTAGGTTTTTCACAGTTGTTACTTGGTGCTCGAGAGTGCTCAGGGAGGATGGGTGCCAGGAATAGCAGAGAGAACTTTTAATGTCATCGCCTACTAAAATAAGCAAAACTTTAAAGGGGTGAGATAAGAATGCCAATCATTACCTGCAGTGTACAAAGTGCCTGGCTCACCTGCACTGCCATCACCGAGACCCCTGTGTTTACAGGAACTTGGAACTCCTAAGCTGTTTCTCTACTAGTTTGTATTGAGACAGATTCTCACTATGCAACCCTGGTTGACTTTGATCCAAGGATCCTCCTGCCTTAGCTTCCCCAGTTCTGGGTTCCTACTCCAGCTCTTCCCCATCACTTAAACCAAGGGTGGGTTCTGGTGGGGACCCTGCCGTATCACCAACCCTTGATTTTTCTAGTAGAGTGCTCCATGATGTTGGAGCCCTCTTCTGTTCCCTCCTAAAAACTTTTAAAAGTGCAAGGCAAGTTTCTTCTTGAAAATAGCAACTGTGGGAGGGGGCAGGGTGCTCCACCCATGGTCAGAGTTCAAGAACACCACCATGGTTTGAGGGTTTCCACAAGACTGTCCAGGCAGGCAGTTCTACCGCCAGGTGTGCACCCAGGGATGGGGATCATGGATCATGGGGCACTGCATGTGCCTCACTCTGCTTCCTCCTTCTTCTCCTCCAGCATCTCCACCGACAGTGTCTGCTCCTCAGGATCCGGCCCTGGGCTCACACGGATCCTCACTGAGGGCTCCGGGGGCTCTGAGGGCTCCGGGGGCTCCGAGGGCCCAGCCGCCACCTCCTCCGTGGCATCCTCCGGCTTCCCCTGGGCCGGCGGTGGAGAGCGTCGGGCCAGAGGCTCCGGGGGCTCCTGAGGCTCTGGGGGCTCCTGGGGCTTCTTGGGATCTGGCGGTTCCTGGGGCGCAGATTGGTCCGCAGCTCCGGAGCCCTCCTCTCCCCCAGCTTCCTGCGAGCTCTTGGCCTGAAACCCAGAGAGTGTGATACGTGAGGTGAAGCCTTCTCCCCCAAAGAAGCATAAAGGGACCTTACAAGCCAACTTGCCCCCACCTTCTAGGACTTCCAGAAGACAATGGCACACCGGAGGTGAAAGCTAGTGGCCTAGCAGAGCAGCGGCAGGGTAGTGTAAAAGAAAACAATGCAGTGTTGGCAGGTTGAAGTTTGAGGATGAGAGGCCAGCATGTTTTTGCGGGATAAGTCTTGGGGATTTGTTTAATTTTGAGACAGTGTCTCCATATGTATCCCTGGTGTGGAGCACAAGTTGGCCTCAAACTCAGGGTCCTTCTTCCTCAGCCTTTTGGATGCTGAGACGGCAGGTATGAGCTACCATGCCCATCTCTTAGGATAATTTAGACTATTATGGGCTGGAAACCTGTATTAAGTTGTGCATTCAAGTACAGATCCACCCCCCATCCCCCCAACTTATTTGGGGAGTTGATAACCATGAGGAATGGCCTTTTTAAAAGCTGAACCATCCTGACCCCCACTCCTTCTCCTCTTCTGGTTTTTTCAAGACAGGGTTTGTCTGTGTGACTCTGGCTGTTCTGGATCTCACTCTGTAGATTCAGCTCAGAGATCTCCCTATCTCTGTTTCCTGGACACTGGGATTAAGGGCATGTGCCACCACTGCCTGGCTACACACACACACACAGTTTTTCTTAGTAATGAATGGTGAGTGAGAAAAATTTGGAGCACATAGGTAAAGCTGAGTGAGCAGAAGAACCTGTGGCCTGGCCATCTTTCTAGAAGGTTCCAAAGGTTGCAACCCTTATAGGAAGAATGGAGTTGGGTATCAGAAAAATGAGGCTGAGGTGACCCTGTGTTCAGAGGCTTGGTGGGCAACTGTAGATCCTAACCTGTGCTTCCCCCATGGGTGTTGTTGGCCATCAATAAGTAATGGGGGGATTTTAAAAATCCCTGTGTTCTCACCTCCTTGCTCTTTCACCCTAGTTCTGCAAGGAAGGCAATGGGAGAGGGAACAATCTAGAAGATACTCAACTGTCCAAGACCCAAGGGAGAGTAGTCGGTGTGCTTGTGCAGAGCAGAGACCCTTGAAGGTTGCGCAGATCATAGGTGTTAAAGAAGCGGGGCGGGGGGCATCAGGATGCTTCTATAATCAGAAGCAGCTCTGGAGGCCTGCTGCTGCTGCTTCCATGCTTCCTTGTTACTCGCTACACACGTTCTACCCTACGTGTGCACCCTAAGTTCTCAGGACACCCCACCCTGGGCAGGGTGTTCAGATGCAACTTATGAAGCCGAGAGATACAAACAGGAAGCGGGGGGATCATGGGAAGGCTGGTCACATGCTATGCGGTGTTCAAATGTTTGGCAAAAAGGAACCACCGCTTCACCTCTGCAGTCCCATGTGGCCACCATGAGTCCTCGGAGTCTCAGGGGGTGCGAGGCTCTTTCCCGGAGTGACAGCCTCTGGGCTTGTTTAGTATAGAGCTCCTTCACTGCCGTCCTGCGCTGGCGTTCTAAATCTCACAGGGCGCTTTTATCAGAACACTCATGCAACAGGAGCAGAAACCCATCTTAGCTGAGGCCTTTTGCTGCTCTGAGTCTTGGAGTTCACGTCCACTCAACCCCGAAACAGCAGCCAGCACAAAAGACCCCACTGTGCAGCCTCAAACTTGACCAACACAACAATCACATTTTTTTTCCTCTGTCTGGGGCTATTGGTGTGGGCCATGGCCTGGAATCCCAGGTGGCTTTGATGTCACTTGCCCAACTTCTGCTGTCAAGTGAACCCTGAATGGGTCCGCTGACTCACACCCCTGGATTGAAGCTGAGTTCACTGGGCTCCTCTGTTAGCCACACAGACTACTGCCCACTTCCAGGCTGTTATGAGCAGGTCAAATTCATACCATTATTCGAAGAGGTCTCCTTGGCTTCAGTCACAGAAAAAAAGACCCGTGAGCTAATTTTAATATCCCTTTAGGGTCACAGGAATAGAAGCCATTGTCACTGTGCATAACTATGGGATTATTTTTTTTTCTTTCCAAATCATTTCAATGGTCACAGACACTGTATTAAATAGAACATCACTGTCCCCTGGGGAGAGATGTTCCCAGCCTATATCCACTCCTCCCGCCAACCCCAAGACCTTCCCCCAAAGAAGCCTCTCACGACTTCCAGTCCAGGAGTGGGCAGGTGTGGGACACGCACTGTCCTGGCCCCACCGGCAATGGTTCTGAAATTGGCATGAGTCCCAGCACTGACCAGTGACAATGAGTCCTGGGGACTTTGGCTTTGCTCTTGGGGGAAGATGTACTTCCTGGCAGGGTTGTTACATGAAAGGATGTGGAGTCACCCGATAAGGAAAGAGAGACGGCAGACAGAAGGGACTAGTCTTGCAACTTGAGATTCAGCCATATTCGAACTTGCCAAGTATTAAGTCCTCTCTCACTTTCCTAGCCTGTCAACATAATGTCTTACTTAGGGGTTGTTTGAGGCAAGGCTTCATAATGTAGCTCAGGCTGCCTTGAAATTAGGTAGCCCAGGCTGGCCTAGAATTCATAGCAATCCCGCCATCAGCTTCTCACTCATGTGAGCTGCGACCCAGGTTACTCAACCTGGCTTGAACCTGCTTCCATCACCTGCAACCAGAAAAAGTCTGCTGCTGCAAAGGAGAAAGTCCCGACACTGGATGTGTGGTCAGCTCTTGGAGGTCCCCGACCTTCTCCCCGAAATAAACCTGCTAAGTGGGAAGAGTCAGGTCCCAACAGTGTTACCTGTTCCAGCAGCTGCTGTTGCCGCGCGGCTGCCTCCAATGCAGCCAGTTCCTTGAGCCTGGCTCTCAGGTGGGCAAGCTTGCCACCCTTGGCGCCCCTGCCGCCCATCTTTCCTGCTGCAGCGAGGGCGGCATTGAAGAGTTTCGGGGTGCCCGCACGTGGGGGCAGGATGAGTACGCTCTTCTCCTCCTTGGGCTTGTTGTTGTTCCTCAGCATGCGCCTGAAAGAGAGCCACACCCACTTCCGTGAGCCACACCCACTTCCATCCAAAGCACAGTAGGGAGGGAGGAGCCCCATCCATGCCTGTGTAGAACTCTATGTGTCCTACATAGTGGTGGTGGTCGTAGTGTTGGTGCTGCCATTGACTGGTGGTTTCAGAGTACTTTGCTGGGGCAAGCACAGTGCTGAGTGCTTACGCATAGATGGAGGAGTAGAGCAGCCATAATAAGGCGGGGCTTATTGTCTGTGCCATAGGGAAGGGAACACTGGAACCCAGAGAGGTTGATTACCTTGCTTGGGGTCACACCGGATAGACTGAAGGACACAGCTATAGTTCAGATATCGTTTGAGGGTATCTCAAAGGGTTCGTAGGCTTATGGTGATATTGGGAGGGAGGGAGGGAACACGGAACCTTCTAGAGTCAGGGCCTGTTGGGAAGTCGTTAGTGCTCTAGTTCCCCTGGGACCCTGGCTAGTTCTCACAAAAGGGGTTGTTATGAAAGCCATCCTGGCCCCCTCTCGATTTTATCTGGAAAAGGTTGGGGTTATTGCACCCCTGAAAACTGAGGAAACTGAGGCTGGGAATAGGGGCAAGGAGCGACCTGCTCTGGGTCACCAGGAAGTGGCAGAGGCAGAACCAGACACAGGATCGGATGTGACCCAGCACGCTGTTTCTTTGAATAAAGATGGAATTTTCCATCAAACAGAGCCCGTGCCTTTTACTAGGAATTTTTCAAGCTATGAATATGCGATCAACAGCTTGGCTCAAGAACGCATGCATTTTGCGCGCAATCTAGTGGGCGGGACGGCTAATCGGAAAATTCATTCATCAGGGTTCCAGCGCAACTTGTTTGTTTTCTGTTTGCCTGTTTTTAGCCGCTGCCGGCTGCTTAGCTAATCAGAGCCAGCGGGCTTGAAGTGTGCGCGGTGTTATTAATCGACCGAGATTTGCATTTCTCTCTGGGTTTCCCCAGGAGACGCAAGCATGACCATCCATCAGAGGCCTTGGAAGCAGGCTCGCCAGCAGCCCGGGCGCTGTCAACTATGTCACGTGAGTCCATAATTCATACTTGACAGGCAGCAGGAAGGCTCGGTCTGATGCTGAGATGACAAAGAGCAGTGGAGGGGACAGAGGCTCTGCTTTGAGTCCGTGTGGACAGATGCACCCACGTGAAAGGGATTCTCCGCAGTCCAGGCCTCTGCTCTGGAAAGGGCATGAGGCAGGAGAGTGGGGACTGGTGACAAATACCCCTAAATAACAGATGTCACTGGGAGTGCAACTCTGACGAGGATCTGGGTTCCGGTCTGTCCCCCTGTCTGTCTCTATCTGTCTCTATCTATTCGACCACACGTCCCCACCCAACGTCCTTCCTCGCCACAGATGCAAAGCACTCAGGTCAGGCAAACATGGACTGAAACCTTTGAAACCAAGAGCCAAAACAAGCTTTTCCTCCTTTCGAGCTGATCTTCTCAGGGACAGAGTGCCACCTTGTTTGACACTAGCTATAGCACACACAGGGCAACCGAGTCTACAGCCACCCTATGCAGGTCTGTGAGTGACCCCGTGACCGACAGACCAACCCTAGAGGCTTCCTTGGTCACTCAGTTTGAAACCTCATCTGGAAGACTAGAAAGCTAAAGTCTGCTTTTCTAAAAATAAAATAACTTATTTCCCAGTACAAAACACAAACACACCTGCACATACACCTGCATTGCTATTCACAGTCACCAAACATTGGCACTGCCCCACAGGCTCACTCTGGGGGAAGGGAGGGGCTCTGTGGGCTCAGATGACTGTCCAACATGCTATTATTCATATAGTGAGAGATAAAGAAACAGCCATGGGCCTGCCTCTCTTTGAAAAAGTAAACACATGGCACAAAAAGTAGGACTCAATGAGGTTAGCCAGATCAGGAGGCACAGGCCTGTGAGCCCAGTTACCTAGAAGGCTGAGCAGATGGAGAAGGTAGTGCTCACCTGGACTATAAAGCAGCAGGAATGACAATCTGGCCAATTGAACAAGACCCTGCCCCAATACCAAATCAAATACAGTAAACTTAAAGGCTGGAGGTTAAGCTCAGTGGTAAAGCACCTGTCCAATATGCACAGGACCCTGAGTCCCAAAGGAAGAAAGGAAGGAAGGAAAGAAGGAAGGAAGGAAGGAAGGCAGGCAAAAATATTCCCCAAACAAACCTAACACATTTAACCCCTTATAGGGGCAGGTCCCATGCTAAGGAGAATGTATGGCACTTTACTGAGCATACAGCTTTGTACTTTGGGAGTCCTGTTAATATTTTATGTTGTCAGAACAATAGTTCTGCCAGTCAGAGCAGCACACGCCTGGGATCACGGCACCCAGGAAGCTGAGGCAGGAGGTTCAAAAGCTCAAGGCTAGCTAGGCATGGTGGCACACGCCTCTAATTCCAGCACTGGAGAGGCAGATGAATCTGTCTGCGTTCCAGACCAGGTAGGGCTACACGGTGAGACTCTGTCACAAAAACATCAACAGCTACAGTCAGGATGGGTACAGCCTTAAAATGGAATGCAAGTCCAGAAAGGAAAAGAAAAAAAAAGCAAAACAAAACAAAAAAGAAAGCCACAAACAAAGCAAAACAAAATAGTGCATTGCCTGAGAACTAGTCAGATGCCTGTCCGCTCCCCTGCTGGGGGTCAAATCCAGAGTCCCAGGCACACTAGGTCACTGAGGCATCCTCCAGGACCTTGACCCAAATAACTTCAAACACAATACTTTTACCATAGATATTTGAGTCAAAAGCAAAAATAACTTTGTCAGATACTGAACTCTACCTGGGAGGCTTGTTTTCACAGGGTGGATGGGTTAAACATTCTGAAACGTTATATCATAGGACTGGATAAATGAATAAATACAACACGATCAAGGCAGCCAGATGTCCCAGTGTCGGGAAGGGGGTGTAGCATAGAGAGGGAGACTAAAACGAACTGAGGGGAAGATCTGAAATTGTTTCACAGATGCACCAATTCATCACTAGCTAGGAAAAATCATGTATGTGCAAACACATGTGGAAATAGTCATATTGATGAACACAGGTGTGGGGGTTCACGAGGAAGCCAAGTAGCTCTCCATAGCAACGAGTACCCTTCAGGTTCAGATCTTCTTTCGATTTTATTTTTACTTCATCATTTTGAGAAAGGGTTTTACAATAAAGCTCTGGCTGGCATGGAACTTGAAGCACAGACCTGAGTGGTCTTGAACTTGCAGCAATCCTCCTGCCTCTGCCTCTTGGATTATAAGCATGAGACCCCATACCAGGCCGAGATCTGGGTTTCTAGAAACCAGTGGTGGGCTGCAGTTAGGTATTCCAATGGTAAAGCACACATGTCTAGCATGGATAAAGCCCGGGGCTCCATCCCCAACCCTTGTGCCCCTCAAAACTCCTCCAAACATGTTCCACTAGAAGAAATTTAGTTCCTTGGAGAAACTACCATTTCCGGGGGTGGAGGGCAGTTGAAGTGGGAGCCCCAGGTTGCCTAGGCTGTCTGGCTGTGCCTGTTTGTCCCCCAGAGACACAGGAAATGTTGAATTAGGATGGGACTTCAAAGGGTGACAAAAGTCAGCTTAAAGAGTTCTCACTGGCCACACCAGGGCAACCAAAGCCTCAGAAAAACTGTAATAGGTGTTCATGAAACAAAGCAATGCCTGCTCATATAGTAGATAAACCCCAGGAGAGGAGATGAGGCCCTACAGCCGAGTGGGAACCAAGGAGAGGGAAGCAGGAGGAGGCTGAACAGTGATGGTTCAGAGAGACCACTGAGGACCAAGGAGCCATGGGCAGATTGGTGTCCACCAAGCAACGGGTGCAAACTGGGGGAACGGGAACATCTATGCCGTTCCAAAGAGGTCCCCACTAATTGCTTGTCAAGTAACTCTGTAGTTCAGAAACCTTGTCCATACGCTTGAGGTGAATTCATCACCTGGTAAGAATCCAGACCATGTACCCCCCTATGCTGCTTTGAGGGGCACAGTTATCCCTGGTCGTTTCTGCATCAGACGCAGAGCCAAAAGCCATCACCAGAAAACACCAGACACATCTAATCCAAGGAGCATTCTAAAACCTAGCTGGGCCATTGGCTGCTAAGAGACCAAAGCCGTTAGAGACACCATAAGGAACTGTCCCAGGTCAGAGGAGACAGGGGACTCAGTACATTGACGCAGGAAGGAGAAAGCCAGCAGACAACCTCAACATGGATCAGAGATGAGTGAACAGTATGGTTTCCACACAATGCTCTGATGTTCATAACGGTATTACAGCGGTATGAGAGAAGCTACTCTTCCCGATCATTACTCAAAACCCGAAAAGAAAAAAGAAAGAGAGATTCTGTACCTGGCCTTCTTCCGGAGCAACTTCTGAGATTCAGGGTAATGCACCAAAATTTCATTCAAGTCCTTCTTGTCCAGAATGAAGAGGTTGGTGAACCCATGGGCTACCACGTTGGCCGTGCGCCGGTTCCCGCCCCCCACGGCCAGCAAGCTGGAATAGAAAAGGGAGGGGAATGAGACCATTCGGAGGCTGTGGTTTTAGAGAGATTGTCTTAGGTTTTTGTTGATGTTTTGTTTTGAGACAAGATCTCACTATGTAGATCTGGCTGTCCTAGAACTCACTCTGTATATCAGGCTGCCCTTGAACTCACAGAGATCCTCCTGCCTCTGCTTCCTCAGTGCTGAGACTAAAGGAGTGTGTCATCACATCTGGCATCATTTAGGTTTTGAAGTAGAATCTTTCTGTTTTTCAGACTGATTTGCTATCAGCCTCCCTAGTAAATGGGACTACAGGCCACCCAGTGGCTTGGGTTTTGTTCACATTTATTCAGCTCTGCATTTCCCCACCTCCTTCACAGTATGCCATCGTGGGGTAGCCCCCAACCTTTGCCCAGGGTACATGTGACCCCCACCACCACTGACCTGATTTCTCCAAACACCGATCCGGCTTTGAGTGTCACCAGCACGGCTTTCCCATCTGGACCGCCCAGTACCTGCACCTGCCCCGCCTGGATGATGTACATCTCGCGGCCAATCTCCCCCTGGAACAGAAGAGAGTGGAGTCCCACACCACATGGCTGCCCCAGCCCTGCACCAGCAAAGAACTGAGGGGATGATCTGAAATTGTTTCATAGATGTACCATGCATGTACAAATACGTGTGGAAATATTCATACTGATGAACACAGGCGTGGGGGTTCACAAGGAAGCCAAGTAGCTCTCCATAGCAATGAGTACCCTTCAGGTTCAGATCTTCTTTCAATTTCATTTATTTATTTATTGGTTTTTTCAAGACAAGGTTTCTCTGTAGCTTTGGAGCCTGTCCTGGAACTAGCTCTTATAAACCAGACTGGCCTCAAACTCACAGAGATCTGCCTGCCTCTGCCTCCTGAGTGCTGGGATTAAAGGCATGCACCACCACCACCAATAAAAAAAATATATTTTTACTTCATCATTTTGAGAAAGGGTTTTACAATATAACTCTGACTGGCATGGAACTTGAAACACAGGTCTGATTGGTCTTGAACTTGCAGCAATCCTCCTGCCTCTGTCTTTAGGATTATAGACATGAGACACCACATGGTGTGGTGTGGAGGAGGGGGTAGCTTCACTCTTGGCCCCCGTCTTTTCTTTTGAATGTTGGGTACGATACTATTCTGCAGCTCCCACTTGTACGACCCCATGACCCACAGCCCAGTGAGAACCTATGGCCAGTGGCCCAGGAGCTTGGTCAGTTGGGTAGAAATGATAATAGCGGTCAGGAGGCCAGGACATCTTCTAAGTTGATGCTGGTAGGCGGTTTTCCCACAGGTGAACCTGCTAGTGTAAGATTATGCTTTACCAAGATTGTAATGCAAGGTCGAACCAGTGGTGGGACTTGAACCCAGACAGCCTGACCCAGGGTGCATAGTTGCTATGGTTACTCTGTCCCCAGACCCAGCCTGTCTGCTGAAATTCCCAGCACCTCCCAATAGGTCCTTATTAGGCAATAAGGCTGTTACAGGTGTAATACAATTAAGAAGACCTACTTGAGTAGGCTGGCCCTCATCCAATCGAAATGACATTCGCACCGAAAGCACATAGAGGTAAAGAGAGCCAAGGAGAAGATGAACATTGTGCTACCTGAGGAAATGGGTCATTCATTTGTTCTGCCGGCCCTAACACACAGTAATCTGAATCCCAAACTAAATCGGAGGAATGAATGAATGAATGAGGGAACAGATGAATGATCAAGGGAACGGATGAATGGATGGCTTCCTCTGCAGTCAATCAGAAACAGTCAACTGCTGCATATCTTCTAACCCTAGTGCCTTCCCAGATCCCGCCTGGGCGGCCCTCTGTCAATCACAGCTGTCAAGATTAAAGGGTGACGGCCACCCAGTTGCCGTTTAATTTACCCCACACATGCTCTTTTCAGCCTTACAAGGGGTCGAAGTGGGGGGGGGGGGTTCAAGTCCCAGCGTTTCAGAGAGTCACAGAGGAAGCAACAGCAGAGGGTGCTGCTCACACGCACTCCCCAACACCCAAGCGGCCTCTGACCTGCCACAGACTCTAAACAGTGGCAGCCATTGTGTCTGTTTGGTGCCAAATCGGCACATCTTAATCCAGTCTTCCCAGCCACCTCATGAAAAAGGCACTAACAGTATCTATACTTCATCCATAAGAACAGGACTCAGAGAGGGCAGGTTGCCTGCCCAATGCCGCACTGCCAGGAAGCGGCTCCAACACCGTGTAAATCAATCTATCATTCCCAAACTCCTCCCTGCTCCTAAGACTTTAAATTCGTCCTCGCTCCTTGGCTCTGTAATTCCAGAAACTTCACCGCTGCCTCGCATACTGCTCGGCAGACATGTTCAACCTGCAGCTCTCCGAGCCACCTTTGGCCAGGGATAGGTAAGGGATGTAAACTGAACTCAGGGACGGCTCAGCAGCTAAGGTGTTTGCTCTCAGTCTTGATGAGCAGTTTGATCCCCAGAGCCCGCATGGTGGAAAGAGAGAAGCAAGCCCCTCAAGTCGTCCTCTGCCTTCCACATGCTCGGCATTGCATGCCCACACCCCCAGCAGATAAGTAATTTTAAAGGAGGGGCTGGAGAGAGAATGCAGGAGTTAGGCGCACTTACTGCTCTTCCAGGGGACCGCACAAATAAGTAAAAATAACATCCTTACAAGATTGAAAAAACAAACAAACAAACAAAAAAGCCAGTCATGGCAACACACACTGTTAATTCTAGCACTCAGGAGACAGACGCAGGAGGATTTCTATGATTCAAGGCCAGCCTGGTCTACATAGTGAGTTCCGGGACCGCTAGGGTTATAGAGAAAGACCCAGTCTCAAAAATAATAAATAATAATTTTAACCCACCTGACAGGGGCTAGAGGCTCCCAAGCCTTACTTATCTTCACCCCATACACTCACCCAGACATCTCTGTACAAAAGACCTGAAACTTGCCCACCCCTGCCCCTGGTGACCTTGCTGACATCTTAGTGCCCTTGACAAGGAACACAAAGGGCTTTACACTGTCAAGGGCCAGATTCTAACGTAGGTGTTTCCTGGGTGACTCAAAGCAATGAAGGGAACCTGGTGTGCAGTGGTACAGAGTGGTTGGGCCCATGGCATCAGACAGGGCATCACCCGTCCCTTTAGAGACAGCCCCTACTCTCATGCTGATTCTCGCTGCCCACCGCGGGAAGCGGGACCCAGAGCTAGCCAATGTTCTGCTTCATCCAGACGTTTGGAATTTGATGTGGAATCTTCCAGCGTTTAAAGGTTAGGAATTAATTCCACTTAAATAAATTCATAAAACACCGCAGGGCCGTAAACTACCCGCTTTCCTGATGGGAAAATGGAGACCCTGGCGGCAGTTTTGTGGATCAGAGCTCCCCTCCACCCCTTTTCTGCATGGTGGGCTCCTCTGTGTGAAGCGAGCATTGGAAGCGCTTGGCAGAGCCTGGGCACCCTCTGCAGCAGGTGCTCTCTGTTCAGCCTGCCACTGCCCTCGACTTCTCTATAGTGGGGCTGCGAGCGGACCCCCTCACAGGCCCTGCAGATGTCTCCACCCCCTACACGCGCGTACACCGCGCCGCTCCCCGTCCCCCCCACACCCCCGCCCGCACGTACACACGCATGCGCAGCTCACCTTCTTGCACACATAGTCATTGGGCAGGTAGACAACCGAGCGAAGGCGCTTGAGCATGTCGAAGATCATCTGCCGGTCACAGCCCTGCCCAGACCAAGGGGAAGGAGCCCGTTAGAGGAAGGGAGGGGCTTTGTCCTCGATCCCCCGGCGGGCCAGAGGACACCTGTGGGGGTACCTGGAAGAGCGCCACTTTGCTGACAATGTCGTAGTTCACATCGATGGCCAGGTCCAGTCTCATCTTGTCTGGAAGCTGCACCATCAGCTCTGACTCATCTGGGAAGAGACCCGGCCAGGGTCAGAGTTCAGGCCAGGCCTGGCCCCTCAGGCCACACTCAACCACGTGATGCCCTGCACTGGCTCGGCCCAACTCAGCTTCTCCCGTCACAGGGAGCCTCTTCTGATAGTTCCTATCAGATATAGCATCCCTTCCTTTCCAAACTCCTACCCATCCTTCAAAACTAATGGACTAATGCCACTTCCTCCTGACTTTGAAGCGCCTACCCAGATTTTGTATCAGTATTCCCTATTCTGTCGCGCTTGTCAACCCCACTTTGATTTTTCTTTACATCGTGTGTGTGTGTGTGTGTGTGTGTATGCACGTGCATCATAACACACCCGTAGATGTCAGAGGACAACTTGTGGAGGTCCTAGGGACTGAGCTGAGTCATCGTACTTGGCAGCAAGCCCCTCCACTGGCTGAGCCATCCCATTGGCCCACCTATCACTCTATTCCTTTGGAGACAAGTTCTAGCTATGCGGTCCACCCTTGACTCAAACTTAAGATGTCCTCCTAAGTGCCAGGATCCTAGGCCTGCGTTGCCATGCCTGGCTCTACCCTCTATTGTGATCGCTTCCACCTTGGATGGAGCTGCATCTCAAGGCAGATGAAGCAAGAGGAGAGAGGACAAGCCCTGTAAGTCTTCCAGGGTCTTCACTGGCCTCGAGAGGTCCCTCTAATATCAGTGCTGGGGGTACAAACAAGAGAGACCCCTCAGGACACAGAGGACAATGGAAGAGTTGGCCAATCTGGGAATCAGGTAAAGGTTGGTGAGGGGAGGTAGGGGCTGTGGGGGCGTGGCCAGGCTTACCCAGCATGCCTTGTGAATGCCAGGTATATTCATACCAGGTCTTGACACGGTTCTGCACAGACCTGGGGATCTTGTAGAAGTTCATGTACTTCACCGTACTGTCCATGCAGCTGCGGTAGTAGGTCTGGCCTGCTGTGGCGGCTCCCACTACGTCTCTCATCTATAGCAAAGACAGCAGTGAGGGGAGTGTAAGGAAGCTGGGCCCAAGCTGCGCAGGACTCAGGTTGGGATATGTAAGGATAGATCGGGTACCTGTGCTTGCGTCAGGAAGAAAACCCTAGATGGCCACACATAAAGCAGGGAGCTAGGCTGCAGACCTTTCTGGTCCCCAGCACAGTGCTGGGTTGGGATGTCCCACCGGGATAGGCTAATTGGAGTATACAGACACTCTCCCTGGGGAGGAGCACTGAGCCTCGAATATTGTTTCTCAGAGTGGGACCCTTCCAAGTTTGCTTTGAGGACTTGATTTGTTGCCTCCTGCCCTGACTAGAACACAAGTCACCCATCACATCAGAGACTCCAAGGGGTTTTCTCACAGGGCACAGCCCAGGTGCCCAGCCTTTGAGAAAGTCACATAGCCACCTGGGTCACCATACTCCCCAAAGGGACCAACATTCAAACAGAAAGACATCTCAGGCAATCCTGGGACACAGACATCCTCCTGTTTCAAATGCTGTGGGCTTCTGGATCAGCCCAAGTCTTCCCAGTGCTCAATCCCAAAACCACAACACACAGGGAGGTTTCCAGCTTGGAGGAGGGGAGCCACAGGTGGGTGGATGTGTGACCCCAGTTACCTGTCCAATCATCACAGAGAAAGCGAAGACACCTGTGAAATAATTCAGCAGCTGGAAGACAATTTCAAAGAGCGTCTGGGGGTCAGGCAGTCCTCCAATGGTGATGAGAGTTTTCACAGCCCAGTAGTAGCATCGGATGTAACTAGTAAGAGATGAGAAAAGGGAACCTTGGGCGGTGTAGGAACTGCCCAGCTGCCCTTGCCATCCTATACAGCCACAGGTGCAAGAAAATGGCCCCCCCTCCAGCAGCACTCTCAAATGCTATCACGTGTGGCTGAGGCTCTGGCCCAGCCATGTGAGAACATGTCAGCGAGAACATGTCACCCTGAAACGTGGATTTGGAACTGAGGTTCCAGCAGACACCTGGACACAGCTCTAGGTTGACTGCTCCCTGACGCCAGCAAAGGGGAAGCCAGCAGGGCCAAGGAGGTTCCAGGAGACAGCAAGGAAAAGCTAGCACGGGGACAGATTGGCCCTGGTGACTGGGTTTGCTCAGTTTCCCGTCTTTTTCTTTGCTCTCCCCTGTGGTGTTGACTCACAGAAAGTAAGAAGAAAAACAAAACCAGGAGATACTGGAGTCCTCACACCTGAAGGGCTAGCTCCTGCAGACCCAGCCAGCGGCAGATGGGAAACATCTGAGGGAAAAATGTGTCTAGCTGGGTTCAGTCCCCACTAACACACACATGTGCGTGCACGCGCACACACACACACACACACAACTGGAAAGTCATTGTGCCTGTACTGAGTGTGTGTAGACCTTTTCGTCATTATTTCTTAATGATGCAGCATAGCAACCATCACAGCCTCTGCGCAGCCTGAGGTCTGTGAGAACCCTGGAGATGGAGCGTTCTCTGAGAGGGTACACGCAAGTCACATGCAAACACTACGCCACTTCACACAAGGAACTTGAATCTCCTTGGAATTTGGACTCCTTGGGAGTCCTGGAGCCAGTCCCCATAGCCACCGTGGGACAACTGCATTCTTATGCTCCCCTCCCCCCTTTCTCTCTCTCCAAGACAGGCGATCACTGTGTAGCCCCAGCCAACCTGGAACTTGCTATAAGGACCAGGCTGGGCCTCAAACTCACAGAGATCTGCCTGTGTCTGGTATCACTGTTCTCCACACAGGGAAACTGAGGCCCACAAAGGGAAAAGGACTCATGGTCTCCAGTTGGCACATTCCAGAACTTTGACAAGAGCCCAGGGCATAACCTGCTTCTCTAAGCAATCATGTCCCCTCAGGTAGCCACCAGTACAAGCTCACGGTTCCCGGAACAGGAAGTACAGGTGGTGAGGTACTACTGTATAGGAAAACGCACAGGAAATAGCCTGCGTTTGTCTACTGATCACAAAGCAGCAGGCTTGGTGCATCTGACCACAGCTCCCACCTGAGTCCTTCCTGAAGGCAGCAAGGGGAGATCAGCTGGACCAAGCAACCTAACTGACTTTCCGGGGCCTTCTTCCCACCTGGGCCTTCTTCCCACTCCGCTCACCTGCTCCTTACACAAAGTGCAGGCAAAGCCCAAGCCTAGAGCAGTGGTTCTCAACCTTCCTAATGCTGCGACCATTTAATACAGCCCCTCATGTTATAGTGACCCCCAACCATAAAATTATTTACCTCGATATATCATTGTAATTTTGCTACTTATGAATCATAATATAAATAGTATGCAGGCTATCCGATACGTGACCCCTGTGAAAAGGTTGTTCAACTCCCAAAGGGATAGCGACCCACAGGTTGAGAACCACTGTCCTAGCGCCGCTTTCTAGGGTGGACCAATTTTGACTCCCTCCAGCGGGCCTCACCGTCCACAAAATGGGCACGTTCTTCCCAGGCAACTGTAAGGATGACGTGAACTGCTAGAGCAATGACCAGGCCCTAAGTCAGCCATCAAGATCTGCCCAGTGCCTGTGCCTGCCAGCACCTGGCATGGGGAACAGAGGAGAGGGACCCACGTCTTCCAGACATTTCCTCCTTAGTGGGAACAAGCATCCAACGTGCACTCGTGCTGAGAGGGAGCCCAGGAGGCAGGAGCTGTGGCAGGCTGTGTTTGTGTTTGTGCGTGTGTGCGTGTGCACGCACACCCACTCTGCCTCAGGCTTCCTGGGAGGTCTTCAGCAGGGCTCCTTGTCAAGAGTTGCCTGGACATCCGAACATCCGAGGACAACAGACCAGTCTGCCCTGACAATACATGCCATACCAGTACCAGTCACCAGAGGGCGCACGAGCAGTCCCGTATCCTGTCCCCACCCCCATCACCATTGCCTCCATTTCAGCCATCTAGACGACCCAACTGTGGGGGAAATTGAGGGTTTATGCACCTAGGGAGTGAATCACAGAAGGTGTAAGGGTGGTGCCCTCAAAGTCCCCTAAATGTTTCTAGTTGGAGCAATCTCCCACAGACATGGTACATGCTGAGACAGCACAGTGGACTGCCATAGGCAGTCACTGATTTGCCAAGGTTCCTTGCCCCAGCCTCCAGAAGCCCCCCAGGAAGTAGTGGCTAATTTTATAGGTATTGTAATCCCAGCACGATGGAGGCCCTTCCCCACCATACCCGTTAAACCTTGACCCCTTCCTGGGGAAGGTCAAGGTAGCCCCCCCAAACCTTGACCTCTCGCCAGGAAAGGTCAGGCCCACTCCCACAGGCTCTTTAAACTGCTCCCCAGAAAATAAACATGTGGTTTTACCTCTTCCTCTCCGGTGGTCCCGTCGATGGCTTTCCATTCCCTCCATCCCACCCCGGGGCTACCCGAGAGCTCAGGAGTCTAATTAAACCTGGATATCTTGTAATTTGGTCTGATTGGGATTATTTTGCGTCAGTGGAGAGGCACGGTTAGGAAATATTCCTAACAGTTATTGCTTGTGCTATTGAACTTCCTGAAGAATTTTCTGTCGCTGCACTTTGTTCCCATATCCAGGGTCCCTGGAGGACTTCCCTGGGAAAGAGCATGTCAGCAAGCAAACCTACATACCCTGTCCTTGGGAAGAAGGTTCCAGAGATTCCCTGACCTCGCCTTCCTGTTCCTTCTTTCTAGGGCTGCCAGTCTGGCTGCCACTGAGAAGGGGCTTCTTAGATTCTGGGCACAGACTCCTTTGAGAGCTGAAGGAAGGCCATAAAATGATCTAGAACAGCAGACATAGTCAGGGAATTTCACTTCCGTTTCCAGGCTGGGGCTGTTAGAATTTCTGACCCCTTTCCTGGCGTGCTGGCTTTCACAGCACAGGCAGGTGCAGCCCTGGCATCCAGGCCTCAGCCAGACGCTCACACTCACTGGTTTGTTTTGTGTTTTGCTGGTCTTCACAAGACTCCGGGGTAACACCCTAGCACTCGGGAAGCCAGTCAACAGAATATCCTGAGACCCACTTAGGTGGTTTTGTCAACAGTCTGTTTTTCTTTTTCATTTTTTTGTTTCTGTTTTTAAGACAGGGTCTCATTGGTAGCCCTGCAACTTGGCTACAGAATGAACTCAAGGCCAACCTGGGCAACTTAGAGAGACTGTCTTTTTCCACACAGAAGGCATTGGGCTCTATTTCAGAACTTAAAATATCTATCATAAGGAAGCCATGAAGCCAGGGGCCAGTGATGCACAGACAATGCCGGGCTGTGGGTGTGGGACGCGCGCAGGGTTCAGAAGGTGCAGAGGGGAAGGTGCAGAGGAACCAGGCCAGCATGCCACGGTCCAGTCAACAAGCTTAACTCACGCTTAACCCAGCAATTACACGTAGAAGTGATCATTTTGTCATTGGGGTTAACCAAACACATTACTAAAATTAATTTCACCTCCTTTTATGTTTATAATGTGGCTACTAAAACATTTCAGGTTGCATGTATGAGTCACATCACACCATAATAGTGTATGAATTACAGAGCCTTGCTTTAGGCAGTGGGGAACCAGCTACGGTCTGCTGTTTGCAGACCATTGTACTAGACACATACGCATGCATAATGCCACATGCAACACTTTGCTGATGCTGACTCTGAGAGGAAACCCAGGACTACACGCTCTTGTTGCATTTCTTCAGTTCGAAGATTGCACAGCACACCAGTGAGTTAATTAATTTTTTTTTTCCCTTTGAGATACTGGAGTTTGAGTCTAGGGCCCTGTGCCTGAGAACTCTCCCACTGAGCTGCATCTTCAACCCAAATTCAGCATTATATACAAAAATAAATATCACGTTAAACAGATGCATGGATTATCCATATACCTCACATTTAGAAATGCTAAAATCTGAAAAAGTAGGTCGGCCTCGGGGAGGTAAAATAACACAATATCACATAGATCCTCTGGAGCCATGCTGCGTCTGCCAACAGTCCTCTATCACGGGTCCCAACGGGTGTTTCCGGTTTTTTTTATATATGTATATATAACGAATGACATTATGGGAAATATCTTTATCCATGAGTCCTTGTCCCCTCCCCTGAATATTTCCTCCCACTAAAGCCTGTGTGGTGTATTTGCCCACCCTACTGGACTTGCAGATGCTGAGATCTCTCTAGCACATCTCATGCCCAGACCTTCTCCTGGCACAGTTCCCAGGAGACCTTTGCTTAGGGAGATGGATGGGAAAGGAGAACTTGGCCCTAGAACCTTGGCCATGATTGGCTCCTTGGGCACAAGGCTGTCTGGCCAACGCAATGCTTGCGACTGTAGAGGCCCATGTGATGCCCTGGGGGAAGCCTGGCTCACCTGTTCCCCACGCCATCATACACCCAGTGAGTGGAACCAATGCCCTGGAAAGCCGATGCCCAGTAGTAAAGACACGAGTTGAGGTGCAAGCTGTACAGCAGGTAGGCAGTGGTCCTGATGACCCTGCAGAGGGAGAGGGTGTGACACAGTTGTGGAGGTGACACCTTGCCCCAGGGACAGCGCTTTAGGAAATGAACCAGAGCTCAGTTCCTCACAGCCCACCTCCTAGGTTTCCCTGCTGGAGCCACACAACCCTGCCCAGTTGGCCGACACCCTCTCTCTCTCCTCTGCTGCGTCCCTTTAATTCTAAGGTGGAGCTAACTGAGTCAACACACCACTGAGTCAATTCGGGCTTTTCTTTGTGGAGGGGGTTGGAATTGAACCCAGGGCACTTGGTTGGAGCCTTGTCGGAATGCGGGGCTGGAGAAGCTGAGGGGTCAAAGGGGAAATATGTCTGAGGAGCAGCAGGGAGGAGACCGGTGTGTACAGAGACACGGCAGTGATCTACGTACTGCTTGAAATAGGAACAAGGAGCCTTGCCTCCAGGTAGGGACTACCTGGTCCTGGGCCCTACCTTGAACATCTATGTTGTGCCCACTGTGTTCTTACAATGGTCCTGCTGGTTAGAGCTAGGGTGGGGCTTCAGGTCCCCAGAAATGCTGACTTGTGACTTGAGCCAACCTGTGAATGTCCTTGTCACAGTGGATGGGGGGTAAATAAGACCATTCCTGGATCTTATCAAACAAATGAAACGAATATTCTTCCAGAGAAGAGGTTGGGCCAAGAAGAGGCCATGAGGCCTGGGTGGAGGCTCAGGTGCAGTGTGTGTGTGTGTGTGTAGATGTGCACACGTGCTGACATGCATATATGCGCATGCATGCTGGAGAACTCTCACCTGTAAACGTAGGCTTTGCTGAGGATGGCTTCCAAGCGGTTATTAAACTCGAAGAAGGCCATGTACTAGAAGGGAGAGGAAGGTGTCAGGGTAGCCCTGTGCCTGCTGGGGCCATGGCACACTACCCCTGACTCCCACCCTACCCGATGGCTACCAGATAACCTTCTTTGCCTTCTTTCTCCAGGTAACCGGTATTGTCATGGTCCCCCTGTTAGTAATTCTCGCCGCTTACTGTCTTTGGAAAGAGTACCAGTATCATGTAAGGGGAATCGTAAGTTTAATTGGGTGGCTAAAAAAAGTCCATTTAGGGGATCCTGAGTGCCCCAAGTGGCCATCTATCCTGACCACATTCACATGGCCGATCCTCCTAGGATCCTGGGTCCAGCCAGTGAATGTCAGAATAAAACTACAGAATGACACCGAGTGCTAGTAAAATGGGTGCCTGGCATTCAAATCCCTCCTTGGCACACCCTTACTCCTGGTACCCTGAGCAAGTCACCCAGCCCTTCCAAGGGCCAATTTCCCCATCCTCTGGATGGAGTTCATTATAAAGTCGAAGACCCTTCTTTGAGAAGCTCTGTAGGGATGGAGCTGGAGCTAGATTGCCTACATTCAAATCCAGACTCCACTCCTGCCTAGCTGTGTGACACTGGGCAAGTTCCTTAGCTTCTCTGTGCTCCTTAAGATGATAAGAACAGCCGGGTGGTGGTGGTGCACACCTTTAATCCCAGCACTCGGGAGGCAGAGGATCTCTGTGAGTTTGAGGACAGCCTGGTCTACAGAGCGAGTTCCAGGATAGGCTTCAAAGCTATACAGAGAAATCCTGTCTCGAAAAAACAAAATGAAATAAAATAAAACAAAAACGAACAGATAAATTAATATGCTAAGAACAGTATTCAAGTCATGGAATTGAATAACTAGAATTAGTAGTCTTTGGCTCAGAGATGAACAAGAGTTGCCCAGAGTCAGCAGCAATTATAACAAGCTTCTTATTCTTACTAAGGCATGCTCGGGGGGCATTCACCTCCCCAGCGTCTCCTCTTGGGGACACCTTCCATTCCCCAAGTGGCAGTGCCCATGCCAAGCACAGAGGGACCGAAGGCCTCGGGGACCGGCCAGTCTTACCTTCAAGCAGCGGGGCAGGCGAAGGAGGGGGTTCACTCCGAGTTTCAAGTAGAGGAAGTCCAAGGGCAGGAGGCAGAGCAGGTCCATCTGAAATCCCAATGGGGCACCGCAGGGAATAAGGCACAGAACCTCAGGGGGAGGGGGGCTGAGGGACAGGCCTCTATCTGCCAGAGAAGGGTCAGAATGCCCAAGACAGCCTCAGATGAGAGGGCACAAGGCCTCCCACCAACCCACGCCTGTGTGGCTTCATAGACCATGGCGTCCATTTCCAGTGCAGCTCTGTTACTGACCATGGTCAGGGACCCTGTGCTGCTGAACTGGAAACGGAAACACAGACATGGAAAGGTGTGTTGTGAGGGCCACCCAGCCTGGGCTGTCTCAGAAGGCTTATGGCCCAGTGGGCATTCCCATGGAAGATGGGACTACATGGCACAGACCCCCAAATACCCAGGTCCTCAGAGACCCAATGACTATCACTCATCCCCCCACCCTCCAGGTACACACCTTAAACCGGCGAGACTTCAGATAGTTATTACGCATCTCCTTTTTGTCTGTCTGGAAGAAGGAGGCACAGTGATGGGGAAACGGTGTTAGATTAAGTTCTGACCAGAGAGAGCCAGGATGCCACCTAGGCACACACAGCCACACCACCAGGAAGGACTTGTGGTCGCAGGTGGGTAGCTACCATAGGAACAAGCTGTGCTGGAGTCACCAGCCAGCCTCCGATCCCATGGATGGAGGAAAGTGGGGACTCTCAGCTCCTTCCAGGACGACTAGTGGGGACCCTCAGCTCCTCCAGGACGACAAGTGGGGACCCTCAGCTCCT